ATTGGGGGGGGGTGGGGGGGGGGGGGGGCATGTATGGTCGTTTAGCCGAGCGTCCTTAATGGTTTTTGTATCTGCGAAGCAGATATATATGCTATCGCAAACGTACTGTTACCGTACCGTGACCGTACCGTATGTTAGCACATAGCCATTCAGCGACGAGCTTATATAATTTAAGCCAATTTAAACCAATCAGCGATTAGCTTACATCAATTGTTTACGTCGTGCCCGCATCTAACCAGCGAACGGGCATCGTTTGGCCTCGTGTTATTCTTTGCCATTTTCACATTTTGGCTTCAAAAATATCTTGATTTTGTCTTGTTTTCACGTGCCATTCTACTTGCGATATTATTCCGAAGTTATCTATCAACATGGAAACTTATCCTCATCTGGTAAGTAGTCAAATACCACATATTTTATTATATATTTATACAGTAGAACAATCATTGTGTTGTGTATATTTTAATTAAACAGTCAAAACATAGCAGGCAATATATTTGCCAATGAACAATGTCACATGAAACTAATGTTCTCAGGAGATATTGAGCTCAATCCTTTATTTCTGTAACTCTGTTCAAAACAATTAAGCTGTCATCATTTTGCTTTCTAACATAAATCAGATAAATGTTTTTGTTTTTGTTTTTTTTAAATTTTTTCCCCTATGTACAGCTTTGTTAATATTTACAAATATTTTCTAATAATATTGGGCTAGAGATTGACACTGGATATTGGCTGGATAATTTTGTCAGAACAATGGCCGCTTGCAAGACAATCTTACCTAAATTCATTTGTATGGAAAATAACTTATCAGTTACAATGATCATACATTGTATGGATGGATCAGATCAATGGCACACAATGTACAAAACTAAACTTGTGATACCTTCTAAACTTGTGATACCTTCTAAACTTGTGATACCTTCTGTGTTAAACTGAACAGTATCAGTGTGGTGGTATATCATTAACTGTGCACAGGATTGGAATTGAATTATATACTTCACTCATGACATTCAAAATATTCTCTACTGTTCAGTGGTCTTCATTATATGATTGACTCATTGCTACAGTAATGCATCGGTTCCTCAAATAGTTTGTGTATGTTACTCAACAGTTAACATTGGCAAGTGTAAACAATAAGGGACAGAACTTGTGACAGTTCACTGAATAGCCGGCTGCCGGCTGTATAGACACTTCGAATATTGTTTGCATGAAATTTTTATTTCCTGACTACGTAATTATCCATTACAATCATAATCACGGTATAAAATTAGTTAAATTTTCTCGGCGGGAGGGGGGGGGGGCAGTTGCCCCTGCTGACCTCCGCACTGTGTACAGCCCTGTTAGATGTATATTATGTTTGACTTTAAAATTTTATTTGCAATTACTGTATATTAATATAAGTGATGAAATATTTCAATTGTCCCATGTCATCTTCATTATTCAGTTCCTTTCAAGAAAATACAAAATGTGAATCAAGTTTTTTCGCAGATACATGTACGCTTTGCGTACCTATTTTTGTATCTGCGAAGCAGATATATGCTATCGTAAACGTGACCGTACCGTATGTTAGCACGTAGCCATTCAGCGACGAGCTTATATAATTTAAGCCAATCTTATATAATTTAAGCCAATCAGCGATTCGTTTACATCAATTGTTTACATCGTGCCCGCTGATCTAACCTGCGAACGGGCATACTTTAGCCTCGTCAGGCCTCGTGTATAAATCGTGTTTCATATTCTTTCAAAAATATCTTGATATATTCTCGCCATTCTACTTGCGATTAGCCTGCGTGCAGTCCCATGACTGGGACTGCACGCAGGCTAACTTGCGATATTATTCCGAAGTTATTTATCAACATGGAATCTTATCCTCATCTGGTAAGTAGTCAAATACCACATATTATATTTGTGCAAATACATGTCCCACATATTTTATAAGTTTTATAATACATGAGTTCGCCAGTTCGGCAAATATTTACTATACTATCTATAGTTATTAATATTGCCGTATCTTCGGCGTATAGTTTACATGGAATGCACTCTGGAATTTTTTTATTAATATATTACACTGTTAAAATATTGAATATTTTCGAGGATATTTTAAGCCATTTGTCAACATAGTTCACAAAAAGATTTATACAGTATTAAAAACAATCCTTCTGTGACTTCTGTAATATTTTAAACAGTGAAAACATTCTCAGGAGATATTGAATTAAATCCTGGTCTTATATTTCTGTATATTGACTCCATAACTCTATTCAAAACAACAGTCCAACTATAAAGCTGTCATCAAATGTAGTGTTAGAGCAAAGGTTGAAGATGTTATCAGTTAAAATACTTATACATTTTGGTTTTATACATTACAGTTAATTAAACAAAAAAATTTTACAAACATTTTCAAATAAAAGAATCCTCACCCTCCCGAGCCTCATTACATTGTCATTTTGCTTTCTAACATAAATATTTTTCTTTAGAGATTACTACAAGAATGAAGAATAAATGTACTGGATATTGGCTGGATAATTTTGTCAGAACAACGAACTTGCAAGACAATCTTACCTAAATTCATTAGTATGGAAAATAACTTAACAGCTACAATGAGTAATCATATATTATATGGTGGATTTGATCAATGGCACACAATGTACAAAACTAAACTTGTGATACCTTCTACTCAAACCGATAATCTCCCACAACACGATTGTTTTTGTGTGAATGTGCTGTACGTGTTAAACCGAACAGTGTGGTATATCATTAACTGTGCACAGAACTGGAATTTAATTATATACTTCACTCATGACCTTCAAAACATTCTCAATTATTAAGTGGTCTTCGACATGTTCACGAAATATTTTGTGTATGTTACTCAACAGTTAAGAGGGCGTCTCTGTAAGAGTGGACCACTGGATCTGGGCTTCAAAAATAGATTTCTCTTATATTTCTACCGTCGATACTCTCATCTATCCTAACTACGAAACTGGAGTTAAGATCGTTCAAACGTGGTTTTTACAACCGCTATGCGAGTTTTTATCCCAGGACCCAAGTTAATTAAAATATGTCGGTTTCTGAATTCGTCGAAGCCTACAATCACAGTCCGCTTTCTCTATTTTCTCTGTGAATCAGAGCTTCGTTTTCAGGTCTGAGCTGCACTAGAGTGCTCTTTCTACAAAGAAACAGTGACATATAGCTGTTTAGTTGCACCTGGCAAATAAAAAAAAATTACTATTCGAGACCCATCAACGCATGATATCAAATTCGAGAATTATAGGTCCTAAAACATTGCAGAATTCTCATTTGTGGCACCTGCCCAGGTTTTAAATCGCTTTTTAACTTTGAAATAGGATGCTATTCCATACATCTACACAATAAAAATTGCGGCACATGGTATTTCTCAGAAATGAGGAAGTTGACAATTTTTGCATTTTTTAGCTATATTTCTGCGTGTGACACAAGAATCCAACAAGCACATCAGCCCCTACTGTTTTGTTTATTAGCCTCGCTATTATTGCCGAAAAACCAACAGCACGTTAAAGACCTATTCCTAAATGTCCTTTGTCTTTTCCACTAGCGAATTTTTCTGCGCGAAGCGACCTTTTTCCTTTGTCGGCATCCATTTTGCAGCCCTCGAAAAGTCAAAACTGTCAAAATTGAGGTCGGCAAAAGAGGGCCAATCTAAATCTGACCTAGGTCGGCACATCTCGGCATTTCTTAAAATCTGTTCCACGTCTTGGAGCAATAATATTAATCACGCATTTACAAATCATTGAAATCGGAATATAACTGGAACGTTACCTCCAGCCGGAAAATTCGAAAGTTGGAGCCAAATTTTAACTCCAGACGCGCGCAATTTGATCTTCAAACATCTAACGTATATACACAATACCCGTCAGTTTTTAAACCTTACACCGTAGTGTGTTCAGTTAATCGAATTCGCTGACATTTTAAAAGCTATCAGCATAAAAAATTCTTACTTTGGTTGAATTAAGGTGGGCAAAAATTTGCATTTAACCCGGCATTGCCGAATGCCGAACTCGTTTTCGAGGACTGATTTTGCCACGTCTTGCTGACGTAATAAGTGATACCGACAAAGGAAAAAGGTCGCTTCGTGCGAGAAAATTCGCTAGTGGAAAACCGACTTTAATTGCCTCTTTTATAGAACAGTATAATAAGCAACAACAACAACAACAACAACAACAACAACAACAACAACAACAACAACAACAACAACAACAACAACAACAACAACAACAACAACAACAACAACAACAACAACAACAACAACAACAACAACAACAACAACAACAACAACAACCACCACCAAACAAATTTAATTACCTAATTATGATTTCAATAATATTATGTTTTTGGACTAGCTGCCAGAAGCGAAGATACTGTATTCGAAAAGATTTGCATTGCTGCATGTATGGTTTCTTTGATGCATGCTATTCGTGATATTCGGTTTAAATTAATTTATTTAGGAGGTCAATTTTGGTTTCTTCAGTGGTTATCTTTAGCCAATCCAGTTTTGCCGACTG